AAATTATACTAAAACATGATTATCTGTAACTGTTTCAAATTTAATAAATATAATTATAGTTTCTCCAGTTCTGTAAATTATACTAAAACACGATTATCTGTAACTGTTTCAAATTTAATAAATATAATTATAGTTTCTCCAGTTCTGTAAATTATACTAAAATCTGTTATCCATAACTGCTTTATCTTGATGATTGGGAGATAATTTCTAATCAGTGCAAGAGCATTTGTTACTACTAAATCAGCCGTTTCTTTATTCCAACAGTGCTGATGGGAACTATGAGGTTCGCTACAAGTCCAATGTTCTAATTTACCCCAATGGTTTGGTGATGTGGGTCCCTCCCGCCATTTACCAGAGCTCGTGCACTATAGACGTGACGTACTTTCCGTTTGATCAACAGAAATGTGTTATGAAATTCGGTTCGTGGACATTCAATGGCGACGAAGTGTCTTTAAAGCTGGACAGTGACAACAGATGGGTAGATCTTTCGTCGTATTGGAAGAGTGGTACTTGGGACATCGTCGAAGTCCCAGCATTCCTAAACGTCTACAACAACTCTCGAGATATCAAACCTACTGAAACTGATATCTCTTTCTACATCACAATTCGCCGAAAAACTCTCTTTTACACCGTGAATCTAATCCTCCCTACATTTTCTATATCTTTTCTCTGTATCCTTGTTTTCTATCTTCCCGCAGAAGCTGGAGAAAAAGTGACTCTTGGAATATCAATTCTGCTCTCTTTGGTGGTGTTCTTGCTATTAGTGTCGAAAATCTTACCTCCAACTTCTCTTGTCCTTCCATTGATCGCAAAGTACCTACTTTTCACCTTCCTCATGAACACCGGCTCCATCCTAGTGACGGTGGTCATCATCAACTTGAGTTTCCGAGGGCCACGGACTCATCGAATGCCCAACTGGATTCGAGTGGCATTCTTAAAATACTTACCCATTCTTCTGTTTATGAAGAGGCCAAGGAAGACTAGACTGAGGTGGATGATGGAAATGCCAAACTACAAAACTCACCATCTGTACCACAGCTCACCAGAGGGCAAGCCAAGTCAATTAAGAAGTAAATCAGAGTTTATGGAGCTGGCTGACATTCACCACCCTAACTGCACAGCGGCAAGGAAACCCTCTCCAGAACCCGAGGCTCAGCTGCTGGAACCGGAGGCACAAGATACCTTGTTCCTAACCCCCAAAGCTTACAGAGCCATTGAAGCCATCGAATTTATTGCAGAGCATTTACGTAGTGAGGACGAATACGTACAGGTGAGATTTAATTTACGTGACGATTTACTTAAAAATTAAAATTCAACTGTTAACAAAACGTCTTTGTTATGAAGTGTCCTTGTAAGAAACAAAAAACTATCAATATCATTTCATTGTGCTCTCTACCGACCTATTCAATATGTTTACGTCCTTCATGGTCTAACCGCCCCTCCTCAGTGGTTGAGCGGATAGCTTGAAGACTTCCAGCTCTACAATCCGTGATTTGATCCCTACTGAAGTTACAATGAAAGTCTCTTGGACGGATATTTAATTCAAGTTTAGGTATTCTACTGGAGAACATATTTTTTATTCTATTTCCGAACTCTTCACACAGAGAAAACTTTAAAACATAACAATACATAGTTTCAGCACGGTTAATTTGTATATGATAATAAAGTAGAAAGTTCTTTAACCTTTTACGTTTTTATGTCTGTTTTTCTTCTTATTTTGCACGTTCCTCGGTTAAATTGATAGGCTTAGTGACTTGCTTGAATGGAAAGATGGAATACAGGACAAAACAGTTTTGAGAGTTATTTTTGTGCGACGTATTGGAAATTTGTCGTTGTTTCTTGAGCTCAGTTGAAAGCAATACGGGTTACAAGTTTCGAGTAACTTGCAAAGAACCAAATATTCATAGTTTTGTAGTTTCTCGGTTCACTCTTTACAACATTCAAGTTAAACTGAAACGTTAAATCACTTTCTTCGTTTATCATTGTTCTTATGTAACGTATTAGTACTCCGTATTGTCAGCCATATTGTAAAATCACATCTTTCGTTTAACATTGTTTTTATGTAACGTATTAGTACTCAGTATTGTCAGCCATATTGTACAATCACATCTTTCGTTTATCATTGTTCACAATATGGCTGACAATACGGAGTACTAATACGTTACATAAAGATGTGATTTTAACAATGTTAAACGAAAACAATATGGCTGACAATACGGAGTACTAATACGTTACATAAATTGTTGATGCCACCTTAGGGTGTAACATTCCTTGTTGTTGCCACCTTAGGGTGTAACATTCTTCGTTGATGCCACCTTGGGGTGTAACATTCCTCGTTGTTGTCACCTTAGGGTGTAACATTTCTCGTTGTTGCCACCTGAAGAATGAACTCATATCTATGCATACATAAAATTTACATATTAACCTTTTTATTTTCTGTAATGATAATTGAATTCTTGTAAAAGCAGACCGAACGTTGACGCGCGTGCCGAACTGAGGATCATAGGATCCATTGTCGTGTCCCATTTCTACTGAAACAACGTTGCATCATGGGTGTGTTATAAGAGTAACAGTTAAATTCTACTATTCGATTAGAGTAACCGAAGAGCTCAAGTTGGATACTATTTACTTTCTGCTTTCTCTCTTCAAAATTCGGGGGGGGTCGGACATGGTCTAGTGGTTAAAGTGCTGGATTGTGGGTTCGCGTCCTTTTGCCACAAAATCGCATGCCTTTAACACTTTGGGAAGCTGGTAGTGTAGGCTAACTGTCTTCTCTCTAGTCAACCATAGAAAGATATGGTTTGTATATTCGTCTGGAGTAACGAATTATCAGAACGTTAATATCAGTTTAATTACCTTGTAGCCCTAAACACGTAACAAATGTCTTATCTAGTCAGGAAGGGTAACTACTTTTGTCTTATTGGTTTGATTTAACTCCCCTCCCAGGGACATAGCTGTATGTATGTGAAATGATAACGCTAGAATAAGGGTTTCGATAAGTGTGGCGGGCACAGCACAGATAGCCCATTGTGTAGATACAGAGAAACAAATCTGATTTAGCTATATTGAGAACATTTTAAAGTTTATGGACGTGAGAGCTTCCACTCTCTGGCTTTTTTCTCAATTTCTGCACAGAAAATCTGTAAAATACATGACTAGTGCGTCTTTAAACATTTAGTGGTTACCTTTACGAAATCCTTCTACATGGGCAAATCACCCTGAAATTTTTGGGCCAAATGTAAAACATAAATTATATATTTATAGCATTGTATTTTCCCATTAAATTTAATATAAGTTACATAAAAACAATGTTAAACGAAAGATGTGATTTTGGAATGTTACACCCTAAGGTGGCAACAACGAGAAATGTTACACCCTAAGGTGGCAACAACGAGGAATGTTACACCCTAAGGTGGCATCAACAAGGAATGTTACACCCTAAGATGGCATCAACGAGAAATGTTACACCCTCAGGTGGCACCAAGAAGGAATGTTACGCCTTAGAAATAATATATTTTGTTGTTGGCTCCTTGCTGAGATGCGGACTTTAAATGCTGGAGTTCTGCTTTTATTTGTATATAACTGAAAATGTTTGTTTTAATTTTTTAACTGCAGCATTTATTGGTTAGAATTAAATGATTAACCCTAGAAAATGAATCTTTAGAGAAACGGTTCATATCTGACTTTATGTTCTTCCTGCTGCAATAGCCATTAGATCTACTGACCTAATTAAGTAACAAGTAAAGACTTGTTTATGTGACTTTAGGCACTGCCTCTCTCTCTCTGAACACGTGGTTGCTAAACACACACTTTCCACTCATATTTCCTGCTCGTCTTGTACAATCATTGAACACAATATCGTTTATTGTGCGTCGCGTGAGTCAAATAAGCGCAGGAGTGGGTGTAATGTTTTCAAGGCTGACATGTTGGGAGACTAATTTCTTCATTCTCTCGTTGACACTTCACGAATCCCTTCTCGAAAACTAAAGTTAATGACTCTTTTTTTTTCATGTTGAAAGTCGATGTTAAGTGTAGGAATAAAAACAGAATCCAAACAGACAACATCTCATGATAAATTAAAATCATGTTGTCAACAGCGAAACAAGAAAAATGGTTCTTTGACAAGAATAAAAAACTCACCCTGTTTACAGCTTTGAAGTGCTCCTTATTTAATGAAACAAACTCGAATATTACAGAACGAACTGGGAACGAACACTAATAACATTACCCATCTGTTGGTACTAGCTGTTAGAGAAGTTTTCTGTCATTTAATTTATTTTATTTTTATTTGAAAACAAAAATTAAACAGACCACAAAGTGAGTCTTACTTTGTACCTGTATTAACAATCCCAGCTTTTGACTCCGTGGTAAGCTTCTTATTCGTCATTTCAAATAAGTGGCGACAAAAATTTTCGAAAATCTTGTGATTTTGAATTTGTTAAGGAGTTTTTGATTAATTGCATATTGATTGAAGTAACGTGAACATTTATATTGTCCGAATAAATCAAGGTTAGCACTAAAGCCGAAAGTGGCTTCCAAGAGGTATTACGTCATAACATCATGGTTTCTCACTCTTTTCAGAGAACAGAGAGTGCCATGCACTAACTAAAACATCTTTCCTGAACACCTGTATATATGTAACTTTAAGGTTAATGGACCACATTAGTTAAATATTGTTGACGATGTGGTATATATAAAAACTTTAAGGTTAATGGACCACATTTGTTAAATATTGTTGACGATGTGGTATATATGTAACTTTAAGGTTAATGGACCACATTAGTTAAATATTGTTGACGATGTGGTATATATGTAACTTTTCACATCGTCAACAATATTTAACTAATGTGGTCCATTAACCTTAAAGTTTTTATATATATACCACATCGTGAACAATATTTAACTAATGTGGTCCATTAACCTGAAAGTTACATGTATACCACATGTTTGTTACATCATTAACAACACTTGTCAATAAGTGTTCTAATTACCTTGAAATGTAGAAAAATATGATAAAAATGACAACAATAAGTCTTAAACTGATTCCTACAATATCTTGGCTACGTCTACACCATCAAATTAGCAGAGTAAAATGTTATCAACAGACGTTACCCCATATTTTTAGGATAACTTTCATTACGTTATCTAAGAAAATAATATAACTTTAGTATTTTGTTGCTAAACACTTTTATCATATTGAAAAACAATAATTTTGGACTTCAGTCTCATTGCAATTTCATTTTCAAAGCTCTTAATTTATAATGTCTTGTTCCAGATCCGGGAAGACTGGAAGTTCGTTGCTATGGTGATAGACCGTCTCCAGCTGTACATCTTCTTCGCCGTGACAACAGCGGGAACAATAGGAATACTCCTGGACGCACCTCACATCTTCCAACACGTGGATCAAGACAAGATAATTGAAATGCACAAAGGAAAGCCAACATGAAATTCAGAAATTTGGCTAAGTGTGTATAATAATAGATTGTTTTAACGCTGTGAGGTTATGCGTTCATGTTATTCATTATTGTCCCACTCGGATGTTTACCTAACATCCATATTGTTCGGGTCGGCAGAGCTTAAATAAAACTGGATAGAACGGACAGAGATTATTATTCCTGCACTGCACGTATAATCACCTTGTCGAAGAGACTCGGGATATCCTTGCAGCTACTTATCAGACTATTAAAAATATTGTAACTAGCGCCACCAGTTTGATCTATGACAAACCTAAAGTATAAACAATATCTGTACCTCTCTAAGAGCTGTGACCGATTATGCGAAAAAATTTACTTAATTAAATTCTATAAATTTCTCACATTTCATCAGGGCTGTTATTCAAAGTTCTAAACGTTTTGCTTTACCATAAAATATGATGAAAGTTGAAATCGATCTAGTTAATTGGCTAGAAATGATTTCTGGTTGGTTATTGGAAGTAGTCCAGGTAAACCAGTTTACAGGGGTCGTTCAGACTTTGGAAAACTAGATAAGCCGGGTTACAGTTGGAACTATTTTGAGTAGTTATCTAGACTTTAAACACTAGGTAAACCGGCGCACAATTGCAATTAGTTTAAGACAATAAGAATTATCCAGACCTTTAAACTAGGTAACAGCCCTCAAATGGAAGTAGTTTGGGACAACGGGAGTCATCCAGACTTCCGGTACCTAGTTTACTTCTAATTGAGGGGTAGTTTGGGACAACGGGATCATCCAGACTTCCGGTACCTAGTTTACTTCTAATTGAGGGGTAGTTTGGGA